GAGCTAGCATTCTGATAGTGAATATTTACGCACAGCATCGTCATTGAATTTTGACGGGTTAGGTCAGCTCAGCTGAAGTAGAATCATGAGGGGATAGCATCTATTGTACTTGAAAAGAGTTCACACACATAGGAAAGAGGAATAAACAAAACAAAAAAGAAAAAAAACAAATACACTGCAGAAGCTAATAATAAGTACACAAAGTACACAAGTGTATTTATTACATTTTGCAAGCACTTTGTTCTACATTTCAAAAACGCCACCATCAAGCTGTTGGCACATTTATGTACAAAACAGATTAATTGTAATGCCTGCTACAAAGCACTCTGTGAAAATACAAACTCTAATACCAGAAATAAAAGTCAAAAGTGTCAACATCATTACATAAGTTGAAAAGACAGTTTTATCACAAACTGTTAAGACACGGAACTGAAACACTATAATATAGAATTTAAAGAAGCCCATTAATATTTTGCTGAATATCTGTAATACTGCATATATCAGAAAAATGTTGAACCAGTAAGATAATCTAAGCATAAAGAAAAGGAAGCAAAATGAACCCCAAATTAATTAAATAATACTACAGAATGCATAATCATGCCACAGATATCTCTAGTAGTACCCCCTACCTACTACAAGAACTTGTAAAATTACTGATGATGCATGACTAGTCATTGTACAAAGATTGTTTCACTCAATAAATTTTATTAGAAATGCAGTTACACTGAGAAAGGATTTCACAATGGTCAAATCAGTGCACAATACTACCTAGTTTAATACACTGACAAAAATGTCTTGTCAGGCTACATCATTTTAGAAGACACTTTACAGCATTCTTGTAGCATTAGAAATAATCAAAAGAAGAGAGTCAAGGTTAAAACAAACACCAAATTTGGTCCAATAATACTGATTGCTTTTTTTAAAATTCCTTTGATACAGGTACTTTTTATAAATGAATATGAAGGAACATTCGGTTAAAATGACTTACTTGAAATAAAAACACAAATATATCACTACACTTTCAAACAATACATTCTATAGGGGCCTCTGACCACACTTTAGAAAACACTACAGGTAAACCAACATAGATTGGAAGGCTGCAAGCAAAGCTATTATATTAATGGAAGCCTTTTCAAATATATCATACACATTTTAGGAATAGTTTACAGAGGTGCAATCCATTAAAACTTTTAAAGTAGGTAAAACAACTTCCGAGGGGTTAGTGTGCTTATTCGTAATAAACCACCTTCATAAAGGTAATTAATTTTCCACATTAGCATATTAAAAGTTCCAATCCAGCCACTTCTTAAATCACAAAGAGATCATTCTCCAATAGTCTACAGTAGTTATTTCCATTAAAATTGTCTCTATATACTAAACTTTAAAAAGGTAAGCCTGGTGTCACAATCTTAAAAAGGCAACTAGCCATGCATTAGCATTACTGTTTCTACATGCTCACAACATAAACATGAGTAATCTGAGATAAATACCTTTTAAGAACATCAAGAAAAAGTACAATGTTAACAAAGATAAGAAGCACTTCTTTTTTTTAAACCTACTCTTACAAATTTAGAAATTGCACCTTAGATTGATGAAAACATGAACCAGGGCCTATAGTAATATGGCCCCTGATCTTCAGACAAAATTTCCATATTTCAAGAGTCATCATGATGTCATCTCTGTCTATTGTTCATAATGTACAATGGTCCCTTTGAAGGTTACCTGTAGTTAAACTAGTTACCGAAATCAAAACTAAAAAGTATAAAAAGCTATCTTCTTTTCAAAACATAAGAAATAATGCAAAAGGTGTTATGTATAACACATGGGAAGTGGTTAAAAATCAAACAAAGCTTTGCATTTGACAATGTTAGTGTCTTTGATTTTACAGAACTAGTAAATGAGTTTGAGAAATTTCAAAAAAAAAAAAAAAGGCTGGATAGGAGCTTGTAGAAAAGATCTGATTTACATCAATTTAATAAATTGGGAAATTAAGTGCTAACCAACAAAGAATTGTACTCAGGTGATTCATAAGTCACCTTACATATCATTGATGAGAAGCACTTTCACTTTGTTTTTTAAAGGTTGGATGGTTGGATGGCCCTTAGTTAAACACCAATGCATTCAAATGGTAGAAAGAACAGGAAGATGCATTTATGTGTATGCATTGAGCCGCTCTTTGGAGCGAGTAGAATGGATGTCATGAAGCTCTTGCTCTTCCTTCGACTTGATGTCTTCATACTTCTGCATCCGGCAGGCGTCTTTCACATAGGCCCAGTTGGCAGACAGAACCATAAGGTAGTGAACCTAATCAAAGACAAAAATAATTTATATTGGAAGTTTGTTCAGTGTCTTCATTACACCTTGCTATCTGGAAAGAAGTCTTAGAATTATAGATCTTTTTAGGAAATGTTCACATATAAAATGGAACCAAAATTTCTCCAGTAATAGAAACAATATAAAATATATTTTTCACTCCTCCAATTATATCCCACCTATTCTTGGCACTCTTTCTTTCAGTATCTCTTTCTCTTCTTTTTCAATTCTTGGAAGTAATCCAAGACTAATTCTTAATCTTTATGGGATGTTTCCTGCCCAATGTGTCCTCATTTGCCCAAACCATAGGCGATTCATTTCATGTTCATGTATCTATGTTTTATAATCCATAATCAGAAATATTCTCACATACTGTTTGTGTCTAATTGACTTGAATTAATTAGAGGATCTAATACCCCACTTAAAGAGAGATCATGGAAACACCCAAATATACCTGTGGATTTGATTAACAGGTTAATTTTGCATATAATGAATTTTGCAGTTTCTTTTTTACTATAAACTACAAGAGATGAAATATTGTGTTATATGGGTTTTTTTATGTGTATATACATTCACAACAGCTACAATAGTGCCATGTTCAAAAAGGAAGCTCCTGGTTTGTCTGGAGTAACGAAGTTGCTCGAGAAATAAAGCTCCTTTATTTGACTTGAGTTGACCCAGCAATGAGCCTGTTTATTTGTTTTTCTTTTCTTTCTTCCCTCTTGGTCCACAGGGGAGATAAAGCAGCTTTCCACATGATGAATTTTGATGAATAGGGAAGAGAAACTAAGTGGACAGTTATTTACTTTCACTGAGTTTTAAAGGGTGGGCAATATTTTAATCCAACATTCAGAAAAATAGAACACTAAGATTTTGATAATTAGTAAACAGTACATTGAAAGAGGAGGCGGGTTGGTTCTAGAAAAGTACAGATGGATATAAAGAATGCAATGTCAATTCTAAATAGCGAATATTGTGGCGTGTTCAGATAGTCAACAAACAGCAAAAAAAAAAAAAAACAAAATAATTTTGACATGGAATGTAGGGAAAAAGATGCATACCACTATAAATAACCTATTTTTAGAATTTTCTGTTTCCTCTGAAGTTTAGCATTTTGTTTAAGGAAAATTATAAGCCACCTGAAAGCAGGGGCTGTGAGTTACATTCTTGTACATTATGGCATTTACATAGTGAAAACTTAATCACTATATGTATATATATATGGATTAAATAAGGCTTATACACATAATGAAGTTTATGCAGTATTTTGTTGCTATAAAATATCAAGTGCTGTGGAGAATGCTTAGTACATAGCAGATACACAAAATATTTGCCAAATAAATGAGTACACTTTTCAATCTTCAAAAACTTTTCATAATATCTGAGAAAATGTGGCCCCCAAATTATTATTAAATATGTATGAGTGAGGCTGGGCGCAGTGGCTCACGCCTATAATCCCAGCACTTTGGGAGGCCAAGGCGGGTTGATCACCTGAAGTCAGGAGTTCAAGACCAGTCTGGCCAACATGGTGAAACCCCATCTCTACTAAAAATACAAAAATAACTGGGTGTGGTAGCATGTGCCTGTAATCCCAGCTACGCAGGAGGATGAGGCAGGAGAATCGATGGAACCTGGGAGGCGGAGGTTGCAGCGAGCTGAGATCATGACACACTACTCTAGCCTGGGCAACAGAGTGAGACTCTGTCTCAAAAAAATACATATCTATATATTTATATAATATATGTGCTATATATAAAAGTATTTATTTTTATATTGTGTATATATATACACATGTGAGTGAAATACTGAAAAGAAATTCAAGGGTAGGTGCAGTGGCTCACACCTGTAATCCCAGCACTTTGGGAGGCCGAGGCGGGCGGATCACGAGGTCAGGAGATCGAGACTATCCTGGCTAACACGGTGAAACCCCGTCTCTACTAAAAATACAAAAAATTAGCTGGGTGTGGTGGCAGGTGCCTGTAGTCCCAGCTACTCGGGAGGCTGAGGCAGGAGAATGGCGTGAACCTGGGAGGCAGAGCTTGCAGTGAGCTGAGATTTTGCCACTTCACTCCAGCCTGGGCGACAGAGGAGACCCCGTAAAAAAAAAAAAAAAAAATCAAGGTCACTCCAATTCAGAAACAGGTGCTTCCTAATGGATCTTACAGGCAGTTCCTCTGGCCTTAAGCGGAACACAAGTTACAGGGCTTATTACTGTCCCTTGCTAGGTGAACAGTGATTACTGAAATCTGGTCCAATGCTAAGTTGACTTACTTTGTCAGCATGTAGCATTCCTAACTTCTCTACAAAATAATGGAGTAGAGTAGAACAGAGTAAGTTCTTAAGAAATACTATTAATAGCATTATAATTAATATTCTTAAGTTCCTAATATTAAGTTTTTAAGAAATATTATTAATAATAAGGTGCCTGCTTTATTATTCCTGGTACTAGCAGTATTAGTACCAGGAACAGTAGCAGTCATTATATTTTCCCTCTCTCCTAAGACCTGCACTATTATTAGAGCTAATAAGTTGGAAATATGTAGGTCAATCATTTAAGCTAGTATGGAGTTTTGTGATGACTCTAGACAGAGAAAATAACCCCCAAAGAATGCTTAGTCCTTGAAAAAATTATCTTCTAAACTTTCTGTTTTAAATAAAATTTATGTATAGCTTTAAGAATATGGAAAGCATAGATTGCTTAAGAAATACCTAATATATAAATTTCTATCATCTCAAAATCTGTGGATTTGTTTTCAGAGTAAGCATTTTCAGGGATATTTAAATAACATTTGTCTAAATAGGTGTTTTTCACTAGTGTATATCTGTATTTTTAGACAGAATTTTATATGCACATATATGTAGGAAATGCAAACAAATGTTCATTATAATCCACTTTTTAAAAGATACCTTCACGGACTTCTTGTACCTGGGTATATATTGCTTGTACATATCCGTGTCATTCAAGTTTTTGACAGTACAGGAATGGGTGCATGAACACAAAGATACATATGTCTCCCCTGATGTCACAGCCAGCATATATTCTCCTAAGGACCATAATGTTTGATATATCATTGGCCAGAACTTGTTGATCCTTCCCCAGGGCATAGTTTAGCATTAATTTTAGGTTAAGAATATAAGGCCTTTGCTTCTTCTTCTATTTTGATCCCCCCAATTAATCAACCATCATGATCTTTATCAAGCATCTCACATTCTGAAACAAAATTTCTATATAGAGTTTTATTGTCACTAGATCAAAAATGCTGAGCGATGCTAAAGTAACAAAACATATGAAAATTCATGTTAGTACTGACATAGTCAGTTTTATTGAAAATATATGTAAGTCACTTTTAATAAAACAAATTAAATACAAAATAATTATGAAATCACTAAAATAACCAGTCTGACTTGGCTTATTAGCACATTAGTATTTTTCTCATCATTCCTATTTTTAGTCTCTGACAAGA